GCCAATAGACAGAGATGCCACGAATGGAAGGTGGCCATTCCTGCACAACGTACTGAGCAGTCTCATCCCCACACAGAATCATACAATCATAGAATCACCTTAATTGTGACACTGCATCTTAAAAAATTGTAGAAGATGAAGGCTTCTCTGTAGGATGCACTCCTACAATCACTGCTCGTATCTGAAGGACCATGAACACTGAATGCACTGCAAAAAGAGTGAAAGGGGAAAAAAAGGAGTCTGCAGAGGTGAAATATCTACCAAAGGTCTCACTAAGGTTCGGGATGAGAAGGAAAAAAAGACAAGCATCCTGTTTGTTGGCCTTGCTCTTCACGCTACTCAGCACCATCATTTCCAGTGTCAAAGCTGGAACATATGACAAACACATAAAAGAAAAATACATCTCCTGAACTGTTAGCTCCGAGACAAATCAAGGCCCCTTCATTGTACAAGAGCATCATTCTTGTACCTCTCTTCTCCCTATGTGCATTCCTACATTACAAGAGGAAACTGCTATGCTATTATGGACGTAAAACTCCTTTGGTAGATCTAAGTGCCTTCAGTAAAATGCCAGAAAATGCTTCTTCCCTCCAGTTAGGAAAACTCCCTGCTGTAGGGAGTGACTCATAATCCAGAAAGCAAGAGAAGATGGGGGGCCCTGATGGCACTTTTCCAGTCTTAATCAGCACTGACTGCATGGCGATAGAGACTGATAAGCTGCCAGAAGTTCTTTCTTTCTAGGATACTTGAAATTGTGGTCCAGAACAGTAGTGACCTTTGTGTGGTCTGTGTTCCATTAAAAAAAATGCAAAATCAGAGGCCGTAGCTTCCCATGGTGGCCAACAAAATATTTTGATAGATTTATCCTAATCTCCTGCAAATCTCCGTTTCTCCTTCCCCATCCTTAATCAATTTCCACTCCAATAAATATTTTATTCCAACTTGCCTATCTGTGATCACACATTTAGCAATACAGAGGGCTGTGACAGGGAGAAAGCATCCTTAACGGACACTGCATAACGCATGTGGGAATCCTTTCTAATAAAAAGGGATTAGATTAAAGACAGCCAGCTACCACAGATCAGCAACTGAATCAGCAGTAAAGAGTAACCTAGACTTAGGAGACTTCAATTTGCTGATCTGTCAAGGACTTCCAGAGAGAAATCACTCTGTATGTCATTCCATAACCTACAGGAGGGTAGGAGGTGATACTCACAAAGACTGGGGTACTTAGATGCAGTATGATAGAGTGGGCTTTCAACAAAACTGAGAAAGTAGAATTACCAGAATTGTATGTTTAACTCCTAAAAATGCACTCTTTTTGTTCATTTGTTTAAGTACGATGCTCTCTGATTATAATTCTGTGATTAATCACTGCCTTGCCACTGCCAGCTAGAGGATTTCCCAGTGACAGATCGTGCCGCTGTAGTGAGTCTAGGCAATAACTGATCTTGCTCCTTCAAAGTGTGCTTCCAGCATGCTGTTTCTTGGCTTACCATGTTCCCTGGTTCCTCAGGAATGCAGCATGAGACATAATATTCTACCAGCTGCGTGTGCCTTGGTGAGTAGTCACTGGCTACAGCAGTTTCCCCCCTCTCTGAAACCACCTTCAGTAACTTGAACTCAGGGAAGCTGCAGAGAAGTGTTGTGGTGAGCAGAGACCTGATGGAAGTGCTGGCTGGCTGGCTCCCAAACTCAGCTCACCCAGTCTCCCAGCAGCACCAGCTGGCATGGCCAGGGCAAAGAGGCTTCAGGCTCTTGCTCCTCCTCCCTCTCCAGGAACATCTGCCTATGCTGAAACAAGATGGCTCGTTGGTAAACCAGAGATAAGGAAAGTGGAACTGCAGCAGGAAGATGGTTATGGAAAAGATCTTAGTGTGCTGACAGGGCAAGTAAAATGACCTTTCTCCAGTCTGACAGTTCAAATGTAATTATTCCAACAAATTATTTCCATGACTTAATATAACGCCTTGCAGCTTTCTAGCAAGGTTAATTAGATTCCTCAATTCAAAACCTATCTGTTCTTAACCAACTTTTAATATGCTGAAATCCAGTTTTCTAAATTCAAACTAATAAAAGTGATTAGCTGACAGCTATCTGGTATGCTACAATTACCATGGCATTTAGACCCCAGGCAGAAAATATTTAATGCAAATCAGAGTCAATGTCTCTGCCCATTTGTCCTTTTTCTGATTATTGGATCAATGTGCCATATGAATCTTGTACAATCCATGTTACTATGCTAAACAAATAAAGAATGGAGAATAAAGGCAGAGATACTGGTTCAGACAGTTAACCAAAGTTGAAAGACTCCTTTTTTCCTCCTACACTTAATTTCTTCGTTCCACATGAGCATGAAGTTGTGGGGAGGCACAAGGCTGACAGCTCAGTAGATGGGTATTCAGCTCAGACAAAGCCAGAATTAGTGTAAAACTCCCAAGCCTGCACTGCCATATCTGAAATCCTCAACCATTGTGATCCCAGAGACCATTTTCCTCTGAGAGTAGGTCGGGCTGGAATAAACCTAAAGGGATGAGGGCAGACCACCTCTTTGATTTTATCCCACCATAAAAAGCAGTTGTGTCCCAGGACTGCTAGTTTTGTTTTGTATTTTTCTTGGAAGGTATATAATTAGTTGTGGCTATGTTTCCCAAATTGCCGCATGGGGCACAGCATGCTTAAAGCTGAGGAGTTCAGCTCAACACACAGTTTATCTGCACATCAAGAATGCCAAGGCTGGAGACTCAGAGATGATCTTCAGTGGTATAGACTGAGTGCAATTAGAAGATCCATCAGGTGCAGCGTGTAATTAAGCATCATCTGCCCAAGGACGACCAGTGTTGTTGTTTGATTTTCACCAAGCAGCTTGCATCATGCACAATCACTCTATCTTTGATCATGCTGCTGCTTATAACAACATTGGCAACATTTCCAAACGATCTGGATGCTCCTTTCCACCTCCTGTTCTCCAGCTGAATTAAGAGCTACTGGCAAGGCATTGGTCTGACCTTCCATCCGATAGCCAAATTGATGACCTAACATTGAGAGACCTTATGTTCCAATCCTCTGAGCCATGCATCCCTTTTAGATGAATAAGCTTTTGATGTACCACGCTCGCAAACAGAGCAGAACCATTTCAGTGATACATTATTAGCCTGCAAAACCCTAGCATTTCAGCTCCATAAATACAAGTGTTAAACAAAACTAAAGCTTCACTTCAGGAAGCAATTTCTGAGCTGTGAGGAAAATTAATCACTAGAACAGCTTACCAGGGTAGGTGGTTGACTCACCATTGCTTCAAGTCTTTAAGATAAAAAGATTAGATTTTTTAAAAATTTTTTTTGTTTTTTAAAGTCCTGATTCAATCAAGCTTTTGGGGAGAAATTGACAGTAGGACCAGTAGGACAACGGGCTGTACAGTGGCAAGGTCTCTTCTGAACTTAGATCCTGTGAGTTTCCAAATATTCTGCTCACCCAACTGACTTACGGAGCTTATGGAAAGAATGGAGTGGGCTTCAGTCCCTGAACTGGCTCTTGCCACTTACAGTTCTGCATTAAGAAAATGACTGTAATCAAATCTCATGCTTCAGGGCTTCAGCCGTTTGCCTGAAGGGAGCAGGAAAAAAGGCTTCTCCTTCTTGCCCGCCCACACTAATAGCTAAGTACATGTTATGTTTGTTTGGCTTGTTGTTGCTTCTCTTTTAAAACATTAGAGAGTGAACTCAAATGAGTATGGGGCAGAGACAAAGTCAAATGCAGCAACACAGAAAATGCTCTCTGGTTATCCAGTCTTCAGAAAGTCATTCTTGCTTACACTTAAATCTGTACCAGTCATCAGCTTTGATGACCGTCACCATTTACAAAGAAGACATTTTGGCTGTAAGGATGGACACTACGGAAGGCAGAGGATACTGACGGAGAATGGGGATTGATATCTACCCAATGTCACAGAATTATGTTTATCTGATGAGAACATCTTGACCTTCTCATGTAATCAGATTCTTTTCACTGAAAAATCCTTGTTTATTAGGACCTTGGTTCCTCCTGCTTTCCAATTAAATAAAACGACTGAACCTTCTTTAAGTCAGACATGCTTTTGTCCAACCAAAATCTATAACCAGCAGACCTACAGAGCAATCTAAGTGACATTTTTAAGAAATGATGAAATAATGGAAGGCGAAAAATGACAAAATGAATAGCTTATTCTAGCTGTTAACTATATCAATTAAAGCAGTTTGTTTCCTAACTACAGGACACTGACGCTTAGTAAGAAACTAAACACACAGGCAGGATGTATCAAATATGGCCAAATCTCTTGACCTTAATGAAGGATTCACAGTCTGCAACACTTGTTTTACGTAGAGGTAAGACACATATTTTATATGTATAGAAATCTAAGGTAATTCAGTTATATGCTCTTTCCAAAGAAATCAGCTCATTATCTTTTTGCAGGTGAGGAAGACGACATAGATACAATGACTCAATCAGCTCAAATTTATCTTCCTCATATTTGTTGGACACAGTTCTGGGCTAATGGGTGTCCATATAAAACCAACCCGATTGATTCAAAATGGGTTTCTTTTTAATCTATGCCAGCACACAGGAGCAGAATGCATTTACATTGTCAGGTTCCCTGCAGATGCAATGAGAAGACAGGGATGGGGCAGATGGGCAAGAAAGTGCATGAAACCTGAATTCACCCTGGTAATCTACAGGCTGGGGACAGACGGTGTCAAAAAGAACCAAAAACTGAAAAATTCCACTTTGTAACCAGAAAGACTGTAAACATACAGCAAGTGAGCACGAGATTTATGCTGAAATTACAGAGGAATTCCTATGGATGATTACGCTTCCAGCCCAAGCATGGAAAGCAAATCTATCAGTACGAATGTCACTGTATTAACACTGCAGCTGTCATGCCTCCCTCCCCATTACCAAACCTGGTATATACAGAAAGGGGCTATGGAAAGACTGATTCAACGTGACATGGCACTGCTCACCAAAGTAGTCATCAGAGGGAGGATTCTCCATGTCATACAGCATTTTCTTCGTCAGATGTTCCAGCTCATCTTCAGGCCTGAAGGCAGGAGTGCTTGTTGTGGGTCCAGAGCTTGGATACCCACTCTAAAAAACAAGAAAAAGAGAACAAACAGTTTGTGATGTGGTATAAAAGCATTCCCCTACAGTAAAAGAGTCTATTGACTGCTCAGTGCTGAACTTCATTGTCTTTTTGCTTTTTTTAAAACCCAAGAGATTCACACAAGTAAACATCCCATTTAATGTAATGAAAATGGACTCCTAAAAATGTCCAGCAAAGTGCTACATATCCTATTAGAATGAGAAGAACTCTGTGCCTCATAATTAGGTGTCCACTGGGTAGCACACAGTAATAAATAAAGGAGAAATATTATTCCAAGGATAACTTGATACAAACATTTTCCAACACTGAAAAAAGACTTTGGAAGCATTTCAGTTTGGATTTGGCAAAAGCTTCCATCATTTAACAATGCAATAAAAGAGAGGCTAGAACAATCATTCCTACAGTGGCGGAGTGTATAGACAAAGACAGATAATTCCAAGCTGCTACTTTTGTTCTCTTCTTGTTTGTTTTGACACAAATTCTGCTGTTAACACTTGCAAGAGCAGGAGGTAACCCACAGATTTTTAGTGCTAGGGATACAAAGGTTTTAGTATGCACTTAAGAACTGAGACCTCTTGGCCTTCATGTGCTAACAGCTAGCATAAAATATTTAAAGTCCATCTCAGTGAGCTTTCTCCCTGGAAAACAGCAGAACTACAGGCGTATTTTGAGAAGCACAGAAATAGTCACATGCCTAAGAGTTTCTTAGAAGAAGCTAAGTTTGGTGTCTGCAGTGAGAAACTCGGTCATTTCAGGATTAAAAACATGCTGACATCAGTTTTCCTTCTGTGCACTGCTTTCTTGAAAGACCCACATGTGAAAACTAACTTATTTATGAAATGAAGTGTTTGAATAAAGGAAGGGATTTAATTGATTAATCTCTACCTTCATCAAAGATCAAACCTCGCATAAGAAACTTCTGAGTGATAGTCTACAAGTAAGCACTTTTTCATGCTCTTTCCCTATTTAAAAGGGAAGAAAAAGTAAGATCATTGGAAAAACAATACACCTCTATCCAGCTTATATGGAATACACCTGACACGATGAATTCTTATAGAGCCAGTCACATTCAGCAGAGAACAGCAGCTTTAAAACACTGCAAGAGAATTAACTAAATACTTTTATTCTTTTTTCCTTTCAGGCAAGAGAGAATTTCAAATGAGACATCAATCAATGCAGAGAAGGTCTCCAAACACTGCTTAGCAATAATACTTCAATCATCCACTCCGAGAAACCAAACACTTGCATGTTCCTGACCTCGTCATATTTATTTTTCTAGGGCCTGTGCTAAGCTGTGTTCCATCACCTCTCTTTCCTGTTGACCTGACCTCCCTCACACATGCAGCACCCATGAGTGCAGTGGCACCACTGCGCTTCTTGGAAGTGCTGGATTTGCTGTGCACACACAACAGGGCAGTTGTACAGGCTGCTGCCTATCACTTGCTCTCTAATGGGGCAGCAGTGCACAAATGAATTGGGTGGCACGGTTCTCCTGGAAGAAAGAGCGCCTGGAAAAAGCCCCAGGCTGGATTCATTTCCTTCAAGGCTACGCAAGATCTGTTTGCCATATATCCAGCACCCCTACCTGAGGATACAGATTGAAACCATACATTCAGGTTTTCCCATAGATGGTCTATTTTTCTGCTGAGGAATTTTTTTTTATTTTCCTGAGCAACGTTCAATCAGTTTATGCACTTGTCCATGATTTCTATATGCCCAGCAGTTGTTCTGAGTAAGTTGCTGAGCATCTGCTAATCTTGAATGTCTACACATAGCTCAACAAATGCTCTTGCACAAAAGCAACCACCTATGTTTGGGTTACCACAACTTATTTTTTCAGATGGAGAGACAGGCTTGTATGGTGCACAGGACTTACACTTGCTTTCAAAGACAAATAAGTGCCACCTCTGTGGGATATTTCGTTTTGGTATGGATAAGGTCATTCACTTAACAAATCTCAGAGCCAGGTGCTTAACCCAACAGCACCAGATGCCCTTGGTGTTTTGTGGCTGTTCTTAGAAGGCTAATTTACAATTGCTTCACTAGAAATAATAAATAATGTAGCCCTGAAAAAAAAAAAAAAAAATAAAAGTTTCATTAATAAAGCAATTAAGGCTGCCAAATACAAAGCATTTAATCTTGGAAGAACCACATATTTTCCTTTGCTCTCTTGTTCCTGTGAGCTGACCATGAATCTTGCCTGAACATACATTTTAACACAGCAAGAGCAGCCAAGGATTTATTAGCTTGAAAAATCAGTTTAGCATCTGGGCATCTTAAAATATCATTTCATCCTCTTTCAGTTTCCAGGCGGAATGGAATGAATGACCAGTGCTGTCCTGTGAAGGAATCACAGAGGATGGCATGGCTGTGGGGTCTGTGCCTCTCCTTCACGCCAGTCTCCACATCTCTGGAGCAGGAGGCTGCTCGTGTCTGTTTCAGGAAGGGCTCTGGCTGTGCCATTTAAAATGAAATCTCAATATCTGCAGACTTTCTCTAGTTTGGGAAACCATGTATCCTCACACGCAATAAAAAGGCTGCTCTCATATTTTATCTACGTTGCACTTTTCCAGATTGGGCAGATTTCTTATCCAGTATTCAACATCAGCAAAAACAACACACACCAACCACAATGTTAGGAGACATTTTAACTTATTTTGACTAAAATGCTACGCTTTTTTGACCAGCGTTTAAGCAATGCTAGGCACATAATTTTTCTCCTTGCATGGCACATGCTGACTATGTGCCTCCAGGAAAATGCAGTTCATACATATGAACATGCTGTTGAGTTTGCCGGGCACGCGCACACACAAACATAGAGAAGTGTATCTTTAGTGGATCTAGAATGCTTGTTTCAGCAAAACAGTTTCCTTCCTCCTCCTTTGTTAGGTCAGGGTAAAAATACAATTCTGGCTTTCCTTACAGAACAGTTGTGTTGTTGTTTATTAAACTTCCTCTGTTTTCTCCCGATCTGTACCATGATCAAGGCTGTCTAGAAATACAATTTGCTGCCTAATCTGCCACAATCATCTTCATGCATTCTCTTTTCTCTACAATGCTTCAGTGTACACTGCGCCTGAGACACAGAGAGCTCAAAGCTGTGCTCTGTGCTGAGCGGCCTCCCAGATCCACTAAGCATCCCAGCAACATCAGAGATTATAATATGGCCCGTGAAAATGGAAAAGAGCTCTGCTCTGCAAAGAGGGACCACGCTTCAGAAGCACTCGAGTACTGTTTTTCACTATTCCCATCAAATATGGAGCAGCTTTGGGAAAAGCATGACGAATACAGTTGTGTTTGCAGATGTGTATGCATTTACAAACAGATGGACTAGGAACTGCCAGCATTCCTAGGGTTAAACTCCATGGCAGAAAATATCTTCATGTTACAAACAAAAGGAAGTGAGTTAATCGCTTGTGCCACTCCAAGCAGTGCAACAACATCTGATTCATCTTCCTCATTAAAGTTCAGTTCCTAAAAAGCCAGGTCAAAAGAAGCAGTCACGTGGAATTGCTGCACAATTATTTTGGTACATGGAGTTGAAACTTTCTTCAGCGCTTCTCTGGTATGTGCTCTGTACTCCAGACCTCATTGGTAAGCAGCTGCCTCTGGAGCTCTGGCTGCCCAGACAGAAAGAGCTCTGGAGGGAGTGGGCTGCATTCTCCAGCATGAACTTTCCCCGTCCACATACAAATTTTCACCCAAATGGGTAAAAATCCCAGTACAAAATCTGCAAAGACATCTGAAGATGATGCAACCATGAATGTACCATCATTCAGAGTACACTGTATGCGGTCATTTTTTCTTGTCCATTTGCAAATGCTGCACAAGTTTCTTCTCTCGGAGAGAAAATCACTTCAATTATGTGTTCCCAATTACAGAAACGTGGAAATTATCTTCTTTTCAGAAGGTAGAATTAGCCCAATTTGGAACTGAAAAGCAGCCAGAAACATCTCACACTGATACTTACTTTCCATTTCATTTTTTTCTACTCGTTCATCTGCATGAAGTTAGCACTTTCCTTTCACTTCACTCACCAGAACTCGTCGTCAGTTAAATAAACAGTTAAAGAACATCTTTGCTCATTTCTTATTCAGTGGCCTGACAAAGACCATGCTTTTTCATTTAAGTTATTGACTGTCCAAAACAATCGCAAACTTTGAGACCAAAAATTCAGCATGGTGCCGCATCTCTCCAACGAGTTGAGCTCCCAAAGAAATAACGATTGCCTGCAGCTGTAATTCAGTCTATAATTAAGGCCAACTGAACCCTCTTACAGAGGAGATGCGCTGGAAAAAAATATTTTAATTCTTGATTTATTTTCCCAGTGAAAAGTCACAGCTGCCTGAGTACATACAGATTCCTGAAAAGACGATGCTGCCTAGATTCCTGCCACACGCACATTCCTGGGTTCACTCCTGCTCGGAGAATAATTCGAGTCCCTCCAAAGAAGCTGCCCTGAAAGAGGGGATGTCCACCAACCTCTGCAACCCACGAATGGCCTGAAATTACAAGTTTTTGGGCAGCTGGGAGAGTGGCCTCCCCTGGGATGGGCCAGAGTGGGGCAAACCATCAGCGCCCCCACAGCCACCACTTCCCAGAGCAAACCAGTAATCCAGAGCGGACAGCTCTGGCAGCAGAGCCCTCATTTATTAAACAGTGGCATGCTTTGAAATAGGGCAGTTTTGTAACTACTCCAAAGCTCTAGAGGATATTTTTCTTTATTTTTAAACTTCATTATTGTAACTCTATCCTCACTTGGTTATCCACGCACATTCCCAGTCTTATTCAAATCCTGCTAAGCTCCGATTTTCAACAATCTCTTGTGACAGTGTTACACAAAATATGTGCAATAATAATAATAGTAAATTAAATATTTCTGTTCTAAACTCACAGCCTGCAATTTTGGTAAAAAGTCCCTTTTAGGGATGCAGACAGGTGGAAGGGGAGATATCTTGTCTGTAAAATCAAGAGAATAGAGCCA